ATATAAGCCAATATGTCTAGTTTATAGAGTAGCTTAGAGAATGAATAGAGGCTTATAGTCCCAGATTTGAGGAGATCATTAAAGATATCTTGTCTGTCCATTTAGTGTATACTTGAATTTCTTATTCAAAATGTATAGCAGATAATCACTCAGTATCTGCTTTAAGGCCTCCAGTGTTAATGAACTCACTTGTTCAGGTAGAAGTTAATTTAACTCAAAATCTTTGTCCCCAGAACTTGTATCTGGTTCCTCTGTGTTCTCATTCCAGTATTTGTTTCATACTTCTCATTAACATAGAGGTAGTCTAAAAATGGTGGTAAAGTTTGTTCCAAAGTAGATGTCAAGAAGCTGACTGAATAAATTGATGATGATAAACTTACTGCATTAAGTTTTTCTTACCCCTTGCTAAATGTTTCTCTCATTACTTCTGGTAAAATACTTTTTGGGGAGAAAAGGTTAATTGCATTAAAATATGGCATATGTGGGTAAATTAAACTTTGGGCTGCTATGACATCAGTATTTTCACTTGCTTTTTGTATTGAGATAATTGTGTTACTTTGGCAGGACGCTGAGGTATATTTATGGGTGTTTACAGAAATCTGTTCAGCACAAGTGGCCTACAAACACCACCATGAGAACAAGAGTTGTTAGGTAAGGCTCATGAATTCATTTGTTACATCACTGTATGTATCACAAACGAGATAGTCAAGTGGATAACTGAAAATCTGAAGAATAACAATATACAATTCAAAGCTTTTTCTTAGAATATTTTCTGAGTTCAGATGGCTCCTAAACTTTAACTACTTTTTTTTTTAGGAGTTACTGTGAGATATTTAGCTACCTTCTTCATTTTTTTAAAACCATGACTATGCATGTATAGTCAATTAAGTATTAGGGATTTTAAAAAAATCTTACAGGACAAGGGGGAGGTATTGATTTTGTGCTGAGAGGGAAGAGCAATAATGGAACTATCAATTAACTGGTTTATAATACAGTCTGTGCCTCCAGAATAGTCTCCAGCCAGTACCTCCAGTTCTGAAGCTGTATTTCAATCTGCTCATTGTACAATAATTAGGAAGAACTGCTTTGGCAAATCATGGAATTTGGGAACTTATTTAGGAGAACTTCATTATCATTATTCTAACTAATTTTTCCAAAGAGGAAGCAGATCTGGAGACATTAAGTTGTTTGCCTACAATTACATAGAAAGGTAGTGGCTAAGGCAGAACTAAAATAAACTTACTTTTTTTTTTTTTTCCTTTTTTTGCCCTTTTAAAATCACGAATAATATTCTTAACACTATTGCAAGTTAAACACACCCCAACCAATTTAAGGCCACTGGAAGTTTAGTGCAAAAGCTTCAGAGATTACAGCAGTTTTCTAATAATGTTATACAGAATATATAGTGCCAGTCATGTTATATGCCCCTCCCCCCCAAAAAATTAGGCAACTAATGACACCAGTATCACAAAATAGTTTTGAAAATGTGTTGATCCTGCCTCCAACCTAAATTTTGTCTGGGGCCTTCTATGTTTTTTTTTTTTTTTTTTTGCAGATAAAATCTCTCTTGGTTAGTTATGATATGACATAAATATTTAAGAATTATAGCTTCTAATTTCTTGGGTTTAGTGGTGATTGGGAGGAATAGAAAAGAATTATAAGCGTAATATTTCAGCACAGGTATGTGTGTAATGTACATTAAAACTGTT